CGACCTACATATATGTATATATATAGAGGTTTATATAGAGGTTTGTATAAAGAGCATGCGCAAGCCGAAGTCAAAGAGCCTAGAAGCCGAGTAAAAAGAAGTCCCCCTGGAAAATTTAATATAAAGGTATCTCCGTCCAAGTGATTTTAATATCAAGCAGGCGAGCTCTCTCTCTCTCTCTCTCTCTCTCTCTCTCTCTCTCTCTCTCTTCCTCTCCCTCTCTCTTTCTCTCTCCGTTTCTCTTTGAATAGTCAATATATGTACGTAGTCGCGGCGCATATATACGTGTGTAGATGCCATCTCCTCTATCTGGCTCTGTTAATAAAGTCAGTGGCATTAGAGAGTCTCAAACCTGTCTCGTTGCTTTTCACACAAATACCCGCTCACACGTGCACACGCACACAAACGACGCACACACATAACATACCCACGCGAAAGCGTAGAGAGCTTAACCAGTTGTGTTTGAGTATCTAGGAATGTAGCCGAAAGATTTGCTCCGCGAGATTGGCTCGAGATAAAATAACAAAAGGCGAGGAAGTGCAACAATGTTGCCTCACCTTGTTTAATTTAACGTGTAAATCTGCGGAAATAATATTGCAACCCCGTAGAGAAGCGCGCCCGTACTCTCTCCCGCCGTTCATCTCATTGTTATCGGAAGGTATTACGGTGTAATGCGTGAAATTCGTTTTGTAGGCGTTATTCGCGCGCGCAGGATGTTTTCACGTTATTATAAACCGCTTATGCAATTATAATCGTTTGCATTCGAAGCAGAAACTCCCGACCGAGATCGAGAGGAACCCACGCGAGAAATAATAGTCTTTCGATAAAAGTGACGATGCGGAAATGTTCCAATATTTTTTTTGTCACACTTCGTCTCTCTTTTCTGACAGAGAGAGAGAGACTTGACGGACATAAAAATTATCGTCGCCATCTTCGCAAGACGCGCGAACACGCGACGTCGCTCGCGGAAACCAGACGCGCGAAACGACAGATCGTTCGCGCGAATTTTACGTGCGCAATTCGAGAGACGCTTCGCGGTGATTTCTAATTAGCGCGGCTCATCTGGCTGCAGGCGGAATACGACGGTTGAATTTCGCCCGGTTCGGCGGACGAGCCGACGAGGAAGAAGGAGAATTAAACCGCAATCCGCCCAGAAGTGAATCATTCTATGAGCATAAATTAGCGCGCCGTCACAACGCCGGTTAATTAATTAAGGTAAATTGTCCTAAGCGTAAGTAACTGCCGGCGCCCCCGGGCTACTCTTCAACCCCCTCTCCCTTCCCTCTTCCCCTTCGGGCTCGCTGCTGCGTGGCGATCCTCTTTACGGGTAACCGCGCGATGCGTTTCCGGCAACAGAGAGAGAGAGAGAGAAGAGAGTCCAGGGGAGGAATACAGGGAGTTTTGTTTTCGGTTGCCTCGACGCGCATTGCGTTTCGTGACGCTTGGCACACACAACTTGCCCGATGATAGTCTCTACTACCGGGAACCGAGTGGTTTAACAAACTTTTGCGGGTGATTCGTCCTTTTCCGAGCTTGCGTGTGTCTCTCGCACAACCGCAAATTTCGAAACAGAACGAGAGAGAGAGAGAGAGAGAAAGAGAGAAAATATCAACCACTTTCTATTTTAAATGCGATAACGTTGTTTCGCGTTTTTCAGTTGTTATTTTTCACGATAATGCATCCAATTTTTGTTGTTGTTTTTTTTTTTTTTTTCATTGGCTTTGTCGGAAACGCAAAGAGAAAGTCCATATTCTCATTTGCACTAATGTTACATTCAGCTGCGAATTTTCTCTTTTCCCCGCGAGCAAAAACAACAAATCGGGTTGCAGCTCGCTCTATTGATAGACACGCGCGGTTTCGTTTCCGACAGACTAGTTGCGAAGCACGGTTTGTGTTCGCGGCTCTCCCTTTCGACCATACGCGTAGTCGGCGGGGCATTGTCTCGGAGAAAATCGAGCGTAGTAGCAAATTGAGTTTTTTTCTCAAAACCGCGCGGGTTTGCGGTAAATATGAAACGGCCGTAGTGTGTTTTGTGTGTGAGATTCCGATTTTATTTCCGGCGTAACAATATCTCCCGTGTGTAATTATCGAAAATACAAATTGTTTCGTTGCTTTCATTGTTTTTTAATATCGGAACATTGGATCGGTCGAAATAAATCGGTGTTACGTTCGTGCGTAACAATATATTTCGCAAGAACCATATATTTAATGTATTTTATAACTTTGTTTTTTTGCGATTATATCGACATTTGTGTGAAAAATTGAAAATTTCAAATTATTTTATTCTAACGATAAAATAATGTTGTATGAAATTAATATTACATCAATGTGAACACGAGAGAACAAAGAAAAAAACACACACACGACAAGCAAAAAGTGCTTTTTATCTAAAAAAAAAAAAAACAAAAAGACAAAAAGCGAAAACTAGTTTTTTATGAAGCAAAGAAACTCGCCCACCCGCTCGGAGTATTAATTGCAGGTCTGCATTTGGCAAATGTCATTTAAACATTATCCCCGGCTTGGTGTTCTCCTCGCCGCGTCGAAACTAACACGGAACTCGAATGTTTAGACCGCTAAAACCAGATGTTTAGTTTGCAGGGAACTTCAAATGTGCCACTCGGTTCAAGAAACCAATTAATGCGCCGCTCGTGTACCCATGAAAGTAAGTAAACTTCGCTCAAAGATACTTGACCAAGACTATCTTCCATGTTGCAACAGAGTAAATTTTCTGAAGATTTCGATTCATTTAATCACGTTTTCGATGAATATTAAAAAAAAGATATTTCAGCGTGTTATTTTGAACTGCGCGTCGTGTAGGTTTTAGAATATGAAAATACAGACACGGTTTGTGTTTGTGAAATGAAAATTGCAATTTTGCTAAAAACCCGCTGCTCGAATATATTATTTTCTCATGTGTGTTGACAAACATTTGTATTCTTCAGACTGTCAAATATTTGGTGAATATTTGATTATTTATTCAAATATTTATTTAAATGTTAATATTACACAGGTTTTTCTTTAAAATCAAAACTGCGCTTCCACATATTTCCACCGCTTCTCCCGATGTAACACTCGGCAGCTTCACTTTTTTAAAGCGCAAACTTCACTTTCTCTCTCTTTCCCCCTTCCCTTTTCTTGGTGCGAGCAAAACGTCGTTGTCAAATCTCTCCGTCGCAAAACGGCAGAAGCAGACTGGTTAGGATTTGAGAGAAAATAGAATGAACGCGATACGCCCAGGAGGGAAGGAGAAACGCGCGGGGACACCCGAGACACAAAGTGCCAGGCAAGCGTTACTTGCGAATTTAATTCTGGCCTTACAAATCCTGAGCATGCTGTAGACAATTACGAGATAATTGTTAATACGACTTGCAATTTGCGCTACGGCCGGTGCCGCGCCTCGTTTAAACTCTCGTGTGCTTAATTAGTTCCTATTTTGCGTTGTGAAGCGTTACGACCGTTGCATATCTCGACGCACATAGAGCGCTCTCTCTGCGCTCTCGCGCAGCGTTCGAGTGCGTCTGAGGGCGTCCTTTAACACCACTCTCGCGTTTTACAAGAAGGGGTCGTTTCTCAATTTATATTTCTAGTCACACCTTTCTTCGACGTGATTTCAGAATAGAAGAAAAATGTTCGAATCGCCTGCAGAGCGAAATTTAACAACAATTGTTAAAACGATCGAAAAGAAAAGATTCTCGATTAACGATTAGTGGAATTTTACGAGAACGAAACGAGCGCGGGACGTAATAAAACCAGGACAAGTGCGTGTAAGTTATGCGCGGCAATAAAATTGTTTTATTATAATTCGGATACACCGTGACCGCATTAAAGGCGAGTTTCTATCCGGCTATATAGCTCGGTCGGTCTCTCTGTGATGTCTATTTTTAATGGGAACCAACGCTCGAATTGTCTCAGAAGATCTCTCTCTAAATGTATCCTCGCGCGCGGTAGTTAACCCCTCATATATACATGTATGTCCGTAGATTTTATCGCCGGCTGCGTGGAACTGTTACGCAAATCTCGTGTAAAATTAAATAACCCAATTTCGAGCTATGGGAGAGTTATCGTATATATTATTAGATGCTGTTAGAGAAAATCTAATATATATAATGTAACGTAATATAATAATAACGCGCGCGTAATATCGACAAAAATCTGTATATATAACAAGATCATTATATATAACAAAATGCGATATACGACGAGATTCGATAATTATCGAGAATTTGACATCTCCGCGCGCCGTCGATAATCGCGCGCGCGCGCGCACGTACGGTGCGATTTAAATGTAAATTCCGCGCCACGACGCGGTTTTCTAAGCGCGCGTCTCTCATGACGCGCGACACAAGATGTTATTGCTGTTATTTCGTTCCGTCGTCGGTTTGACTTTCTCATTACGAAGTTGAAGTATACGGCAGGCGTCACGAACGACATTAAACTAATCTTTAAAAGATGGAGACGCGACGGCGCTTTCTCTAGGCGGGAGAGGGGAAGGGAAGGGGAACGGCGAGAGATTTGTGGGAAAAGTTTTGCAAAATTGAGACCACGCGAGCGCTTGATGAGCGCTGTGATTTATGCCCTTCATTTCTCAGGTGTGAGAGACCGCGGGACCTTATATTAAAGAACGACTGCGGAAAAGTTTTCGCTTCCCGCGTTCCGAGAGAGAAAGAGAACAGAAATCATATCGTCATTACGCGCTCGGCTATGTTGACGACCGCGCGTATAATAGCGCGATGCTCCGAGAGTCATTTCTATAAATAAATGATAAGCCGAGAGAGAGAGAGAGAGAGAGAGAGAGAGAGAGAGAGAGAGATACACAATGTGTTTGCTGAAAGTTAGTTGAACTACATTTGTTTTCGCGCTATAAATATATTTCAATCATCTGCAACTTGGAGGTAAAAATTTTTTAAGCAAAAAGTTTCGCCAGTCGTACACCTGTATCACTGACAAAACAAAGGACGAAAGAGGTTACAAAAAGAAAACAAAGAGTTATCGATACCAACCGGTGAAAATAGCTCCGGGCAGCAACACGCAGATGCTCAAGTACACCAGCAATGCTCCGCGAGCTTGACGCGCCTTCTGGCAGTAGTCCAGCTTTTTCCCTCTCGGTAGGCCACCGCCGATTCTTCTTGGCCCCTTCATCGTGCCGCATAGTTTTCGTTCCGACCACGTAAACCGCGCGCGTTACACCCGGATTAGAGCGCGAGAAGTTTAATAATGCCTCACGTGCTCGCACGCTCGCTCGCTCGCTTCCTTCCTTCCTTCCTTCCTTCCGCCTGGCTTTCGGTTCTCGCGTACACGTGACGCGAGATTTCGTAACGATCTTAACGCGCGTGCCGCGGATGCCAACTGCATTCATTAATAGGACGCGATCGCATCGGGGATCGCGCACCGAGGAGAAGTTGCATCGCGCACGCGGCCAGCGTGCGGGCGAAACGACATATACCCGGCGCGCGAATAATTGTTTTTTCTTTTTCAGAACGCGCGCGCGGTTTTGTTATCGCATCACCACTTTAGCGTGGAAGATACGTCGCGGACACGAATCCGAAGTTTCCGCGAATCAGAACAGGAAATCACACTTGAGACAGTTTCACTTCGCGAAAGTTCATTCGGTGTTTTTTTTTGTTCCGATGTTACATTCAGTTATCCTGGCCGTGATGTTCTTCTGCAACAACAATCCCGTGAGCATCTCTTGTGTAACGGAATGTTGCACAAAGTAGATGTAAAAATAAAGTTTTTATCGAGTTCTCGCTCGACGCGATAAAAATTATTATCTCTTGTGTATTTTTCACGGCGAGAGAGAGACTCGTCGCGATTCGCCAATGAAAAACAAAAACAAAAAAAAGAAGGACGACGTCGATGCCGACGACGAGATGCGTGGAATGCGGCGCGCAAGTTTCGACACACTTTTCGCGCGCGGCGATAACTAATTAACGAACTTCCGTCTCGCTATATGGCATCCCGAACCGCATCATTAATGCTAAATTTAACGCGCTGTCACTCAGCCACCGTAGTAAGACCTGGCAGCATGATAAATTGCATCCGTTTATGCGATTTCAGCACGGCGGCGTTCGATGCTAAGATTCGCGGACGCTACATCCGATGCGCCACTAGACGTAGTACGTAGCGGCGTTCACGTGAATGCATTACGTTTGTCATAAATTTTGGCAGTTAATTTTCACGATTATTCGCGTTCCGCGCAATAAAACAGATCGGCGCAAAGTCAAATAGCGGCGAAAACACAACGATCTTAATTTCAACGCAAGTGCGGTTACAAATGGCACATCGGTAATTTATAAGCGCGCGTTCGACAGAGTAATTTTTCAATTATTCCGTTTGTAATATATAACAAGTCCATTTACGGTTAATTAAATATATATAATAAAATTGCCTGCACGTAAATGCAATAATAACGAGATGCTTGTAATTGCGCGCGAGGAGAGATATTAAACGTACATATTCTTTTATGTGAGAGTTATTAGCGATTCAATGTAGAAATATTCGAAAAATTTCATATACGGCTCGCATTTGAAGCTGCACTAAAATAAAACAGTCAAATTGCTCAATTAATTTATGATGTAGCCGAATAGAGCGGTCGAAAAAAAAAAAAAAAAGACAAAGAGAGATATATCAATTTTACTTAAAACGTCCTTCCGGAGTTTATTGTTCTTTATAACGTAAGGAGACAAAGGTCGCGTGTGTACGAGAGCAAGTTTAACTGTTACAGATTAAACTGAATGAATCGGACTCGATGCTGGTTACGTACGAACGATATTTTTTGGCTTTGCGGCCAAAACCCCGTAAATACACGTAATCTTTCCATTATCGGTGACGTCAAGTGCAAAATAGGATCAATCGCCGTTCATCAATAATCGATAATCCTAACGCGCTGTAAATGTTACGGACGTATTACAGTTTTTGTTCGAGTTTAATTAAAATATACGTGGGGGGGTATTACTTCCCCTCCCCTCTCTTATATTCAGTAACAACGTTACTGAATTTTATCCGCATGTAGGTTAATTGGGGTCAGATGGATCGTGGAAGCAAGCACGTTTTATACCGCCGACTATGCTTCAAAACAACCTCGTTAATTCCCCGTCTATAAAAGTCTCGATTTTCCGCCGATAAATAACATTTCTGGTTAAAGACTTATTGTCATTGATTCACGATGCAAACAAAACGAACAAAAAAAAAGCAATAAAGTCGCGCGCGGAATGAAATCGCTCACGATCGAATTAAACCCGCAGCTGGATAATGACATTTTGCCATTAATTAATTCGTCGGACGGCTTTGTGCCGGCACGTCGTCGTCATCATTACCGCCGTCATCCGCTCCGTCTTCAATCCACCTCTATATACGTTGTCGTCGGAGGGTTCAGAGAATTATTATCTCCGCAGCGTGTGGAAGAAAGTGTTTCTTTTATGACCGAAGTTAAATTAAACGTGTTGAGTGTCATCCCTTTTCCTTCCTCCCATTGGGGAGATCGAGGACACACAATAGAATTTCTTTCACACACATACACACACAAGCACACACATGATTAAAAGGTGTGATTATTTCGGCATCATCGATATCTCGAATATTGTGTACAAAAATAAATAAAAAAAAAAAAAAAAAAAAAAAANANATGTACGTACATAGAAAACAAAACACGCAATATTCTATTTAAAATCTATTTTATGGATTTTTATCGAAGTTTTTTGCGTACTTTTTGCATTGTAGTAAACAACATATTTTTCAATTGATTAAAAAACAATAGTAAATATTTTGAAAATAAAATGAGATTCCAGCTTTAATTAAAAATAGTGATATAACAGTTAAACTTTGTAAACGATCGTTTAAATATTGACAGAATGAACGAATTGTTCAATAAAAATGTAACAAGTTATTCCATCGCGCATTTCCAACACACCTGAAGTGTGTAACGTTTAATTTCGACCATTTTTAATGGAAAACGCGCAGGCATAAAAAGCATGAGCTGAGTTGAAAATATATACATATATATATATATATATATCTTACTGACATAATTTTACGAGGGACGTGTCGAACCATGAAATGACGGACGATGTAACATTAAAAAAAAAAAAAAAAAAATAAATTCTGCATCTCGTTAGAGAACGGTGTTATTGTAGATATTCCGACAAATGACATGTAACAAACAATATCGGTTTTTACCTGGGTTATTAAAACCGATTTTACGTAACATTTGTTTGTAAGAGAAAAAACACACACGCAAAAAGATCGTTACATAAATAAAATGTAACCAATGAAACCGCGTACAAATAATGCGTGCAAATTAATTGCAAAAAAAAAAAAAATATTTGCAAACCTAATATTGTATTTTAACATTTTCGAAATCGCGCAAACATACGGTTTCAAAATCCGTCACAACAAATAACGCGGCTGCTAACTTATATTCGCGTTGTTTTATTTGGATACAAAACATCTAAGCGTCGAAAAAAACCGTCGTGTGATATACTCGTATATACGTGTGCGCGCGTGTGTGTGTGGCCGTACGTGAATGGCGCCGGGTCAATTTTAAGATGCACTATGATGCAGACACAAAGGGTTAGATGGCGGCTCACATGCGGACAATGACAATGCTGATGCAAGACAGCAGGCGCAAATTATCCCTGGGAGGTATTATTAATTAATGCCCTTGTTAAGCTACGGAGCTTGATGGGGAACGGGTGAAGGAGAGACGAGAGATGCGGGCTGGAGATAGCGAGCACAGCGAGTGTGTAACACAGGTGCGCAGTGTGGGACATAAAACCGAAGGAACACGTAAAACGCGCGTCTCTGTGTGTATGTACGTCGCGCGTATGTACGTGCACGTACTGGCGCGCGATAGTACCCGGGCACGCTGGGAATAACGAAATTTTCAGGACGGGGCGAATTAAAATTCAAACACTTATATGACATCGTCAAGCGAGAGAGAAGATCCGCGCGAATGAAAAGAGGAAAAAATAGCGCTGAATATTTTTCGTGAGAGAAAACGCGGGAGCCGCACGGTCGACAAAGAGCTCCCGCCGCCAGAATCAAGATTGGATGTTGGAGTCGAAAGAAAATGAAGACGAAAATGGAGCGTTTGACGTGACGTAGTAGATCGTGATCGACACGCCGCGAGACCGAAGACAACGCGATGACGTATCACGCGTTACAAAAATAAATTCAAACAAAAAAGTTGCGTGAAGTTTACGTAGAAAAGAAAGGAATATCTTCCCGCGCGAAAATTGAAACTTTAACATAAATTATTTCCGACTTTTCTCACACACACACACGAGTATGAGATGTACGATTTATTATTCTCGACATCTCTTCGCTTTTTCGGCTCGCCCCTCACATCTTTCCGGAAATAAGCAAAATTTCGCCGACCTTTTAAGTTTCACAAAGATGCTAAAAACGACGGCAAAAACTGCGAGAGACCTTCGTAAACTTCTCCGCGCGTTATTTATATCGAGTGGTTTCTTCCCAGGAACTCGCGTACGCGCGACGTCAACAGCGTTTCTCTCGTTTTCCCTTTTCCTCGTCGTCGACGTAACGGAGTGTGTAAAGCTCTTCCGTCCTGCATACGTAATTACCAAGTTAATTAGGATTTTGGAGATGAGAGAGATAGCGAAAGAGGCGTGGGCGATGAGGCCAAATTCGCGACAGAGGGAGACAGAGGAGGTGGGGAAGCTGTCGACACGTTTAAGGATGTATTAGCTCCAGGAGAGCGGAGCTGAAAGCTGATGTTGGAACCGTCGCGAGCGAGCCGCCCACATCGGCGAATGTGTGCGCGGCGACGGGAAAAAGACCTTTTCCCCCTTCGCGTCCGTGATTTGCAGACGGTGCTGATCGCGGAGTAATTTTAGCTACGGCGGTTCAGGTGACTCCTCCGAAAAAAGGACGAAACTTTTTCCGAACATCCGTTCGCTGTTTTTATACCCCGCGGTTAGGAACGGCGCGGCTTTGTGGCTCGGGTAGGGTCGATGTTGTCAACGATATTGGTTTGCCTATTCCGCTCCGCGGCATCGAAATTTCCGCCGAATTGCGTTTTGTGTTTGCACACTTTCTTTTGTGAACGTTTTGAATTCTTGTTTGGATAGATACGAACGCGCAAATTTAACGTATCCAACGAGGTATATTCTCACATATATATGTATATTTTTTTTATTGATACGAATAAAACAAAAAAAAAAAAACTACGTTTGTTTACTCGTCTTCAAATTTCGTGACGTTTTTTATTTATTCGTAACTGTGAGAAGAAAAAATTGCGTTATCAACGGATGAGAGTCGGTGTAAACCGTTTACAAACTGTGCGACAAATATCATCAGCTTAATATACTTTTAAAATTTTATCTTGCGAGTTTTAACACTTCAATATCTTTCAAAAAAAAAAAAAAAAATGAAAATAAAAATCTCTGCTTATTCAGTCGCAAAAAAACGAGATCTTCTTTTTCTCGCTTTGAAATATGTCGTCGCGCATAAAAATCTCAAAGGTTGCGACGACTCGAGCGATATACGTATAATAGCAATTCGCGTAATACTTTTTTAAATGTAGAGAAACACTATTTCTAGAGTAAACAATGTGTCTCTCTTTACGACCCTTGGGACTCTCTCATCGAGCTATCGCGCGCTTTCGACTATCCAAGTCAACCTCTCTCGAGTTTTCGTGCAATTGGTTTTTCGTGTTCCGAGCTCTCTTGGCTGTCCTCGAAATCCTAATTTCTCGTTTTTCACTCTCTCATCCCCCTCCCCCCCCCGTCGCAGCTCTGTCATCCGATGGAGCGAGCGACTCCCCCGATGCCCACGGAATCTCGCTATTGCGTTTCACTTGATTTTCCAGGCTTCTGATGGAGGGTACGGAAAATGGGGGCAGATTGTGGAATCTGTGTAAACAGGTCGGAGCTGTGCGTATACTCTCTCTCTCTCTCTCTTTCCCTCTATGTGTGACAACTTTTATTTACTTCTGGTGGTCCGGTTTTCATCCTCTTTTCCGCGCATTTAAAATGGGCCGTGCAAACTGGTTCTAGGTGCGCGCGCGCGCGCACGTGTGTGTGTGTGTGTATGTGTCATTTTATTATTTCAGATTTAATTACTTTCCTCCGCATAGACAAGTATAATTTCTCTGTATTTTTATGACGTAATAAGTTTCTTCAATTGCGACAATAAATTTTCGCATTTTAATACTATCGATTTTACATTTCCGATTATACAAAATACACATTTTTAAATTATTTACTTAGTGATGAATCATTAAATGTTACTCGTTTGACGGTAATTCACACGACGTGTTTTTTTGTTTTTAATCGATTTTTTCCATTACAACTTATCGGAATTTATTTATCAAACTTTATTATCAAAATACAGTATATGTATTCGTACTCTTCACTCGTGACAATCAAAAAAACAAAAAAAAAAAAAAAACTCAACAACGATCGCGAGTGTTGAGCGACGAGCACTGACACCGAAAATATTCACAAATATTACAAATTCACCTAAACTCGCACTTCGTCAGCACACACTTCCGCGCATAAATCTCCATTGTGTCGGCGGGATCTCTCGTATCTCACCCGACGGAATGATCGAGAGATAGATCAGAGCACGTGATACCCGGAGCAGCACGCGAGACGCACTAAATCCGCAAACTCCGTCGGCACAGTGTACGCTATACGGTCCCTCTAACAATAAACTTAGGTAAGCCAACGACGAATACGACAACGAAGACAGAGAGGGAGAGAGCGAAGGAACAGAGAGACGACAACGACGACAACGACGACAACGACGACGACGACGACGTACAACGTGCACACACGCGTGTCGGCCGCACGCGTGACAAAACAGTCGCACGCACTATGGGTGCGTGGGGCACACTAGCCGTGCCGTGGTGCCTCGCAACCGAGCACACCAGAGAGACGACGTATCCACTCGAGACACTTTCTCGGTGTGTGCGTGTCCCACAACGATGATCGCGCGGTGTGAATTGTTGTCCGTGGAGAGAGAGAGAGAAGGGAGCGTGTGCGGCGCTCACACACGGAGCGAAGCAAGTGAAATCCGTGCGGGCGGAGAAGAGGACCAATTGGCTACGGCGTTGTGATGCACATATAGTAGTACCGGTAGCGGTGCGAACGCTTGTCCCTCATGAATTCGGAGCGTACACGAAGATAGCCGCGTCGAGTGTGCACGGAACTCGATAATCTGTGTGCGGGAAGCCCGCATATTGTGTGTATATACGACGCCGAAATGTGAGATTATAGCAAATCGTTGTTGATAGTATGTGAGAGAGAGAGATAGAAAGAGAAGAGAAACGGAAGATCAAATAAGCGCGCCGGGCTTTTGCGAATTAACGCGATTATTAACGTCGATTTGATGTGAGAAATTAAAGCGATCGCGCGATAAAGAGATTTTCGCGTTGTTTTTCTTGTCGAAAAAAAAAAAAAAACAAAATGAAAACTTTGCTTCCCCGCACAGAAAAGACAGAGACGCGCGAATCGACGAGAAATAAAATGTTAATAAATCGCGCACGAAGGGCGCAAACAAGAAAACAAAAGTAAACCTTCGTACGGTATTTGTTATTGTTATTCGATAAAATTTACTCGCACGCTGAAAAGAGCAAATGTTTTTACTGTTTGCAAACGGAATTTACGTATGCGCGAGCGCCAATTTGTGGATAGTAATAAATTTATATTTTTAGTTTTCGTATCACATCTGGACCGTGTATTACATTACATTACCCCGTAGCGCCTTCGAAAATGCGAGAGCACATGTTTGTGCAATCAGTATAAGCGACCATAATTAGCTGCGCACGCTTGGCTGTTTACATGCCGCAAACACGACGGGAAAACGATGCAGATGTGTGTTGAGCACCACGTCGCATTATTCCGAGGTGAACATCGACAATTACGCACGAAAATGTCAATTGTGCGCGCGATTGTTATAAAAGTTGAATTAATCGCGACGTTAAATCAGTCCCGCGTCAAATACGCTTGTCAGCGTGCGCGATGTGTCTTATATTAATTAAAGCATACTAAGTGCTAGTTAGTTTAAATTAATTTAGTAAGTGCCGCGCGTCGCCGCAGGCGCTTTGTAATTTAAACTCGCGAATGGCAACGACGCCGGCATTAACGGGAGAGAATATATCGCAAAAATATGTGTGTATACACGGGAGCGGGGAAAATAAAATTTCTGACGCGCTTAACGTTGACGAATGCGCGACAATCGATGATGAGTCCCGCGTCTCGTTTAACCTCGTATATAAATCGCTCCGTAAACGGACGGTTCGTCAATTCGAGACAAGCAGCGTTAAAGGGTTAAGGGCCAAAATCGGGTGCGCACAGCGAACTCTCTCTCCCTTTGCTTATCGGGCAACACGTAGGGTTGTTGTACACGCGCGTCCTCTTCTCTCTCTCTCTCTCTCTCTCTCTCTCTCTCTCTCTCTCTCTCTCTCTCTCTCTCTCATTCTCTCGCGACCTGTTCATCGACGCAGACCCGCGCAAAAGCGCAGCATCACCGAGTGTGCATATCTCGCGCGATCGATCGTTTCACACCGCTAACCACGAATGCATACAGAATTTGCGATCCATTGCGCCGAACGTGTGCTCGCCTTCTAATACGGGCAATCATAGCCGCGCGGCGTGCTCGTCCCACAAACGGGACGAATTTTACATCCCTCGTAACGTAACGTTTTCGAGAGACGACACGTAAGAGGAACGTCGTCGAGAAATTTTTACACGCGCGAAAGAATTTTATTACACAGTGGCCTATCGTGGAAAATTTCTCTTACGCGCGCGTACGTTGGATAAATTTAAATTTTCACCAAAGTCCGCGCCGAGAAAAAAGAACGACGCGTAAGAATCCTCTTCTTTGTTTTTTTTTTTTTTTTTTTTGCGCACCTTCGACACTTAGCGCGCGCGCTAATTTCTTCTCGAGAGTTTTATCCTCGATGACGAGAATTCGCACGAAATACAAACGGTGAAATATATATCGCCGTAGCGGCGGTCACCATCAATATTCAACGCGTATCGACCATTGCGCGCGCGGTTACGTGACATCGCGTATAAAATCCATACCAGATGACAGACGCGCAAAGCGACGCATCTATTAACAACGTTATATTCGAGGCAACGAGGAACAACATTACTTTCGCCACGCAACATTACCCATTACACGCGTCATAACGATATCCGTGACTTTATGCTCGGCAGCGAAATCCATGGCGTTGTTAATCCCCCCGTTCGCGAGCCCGCGCGTTCGAAAGCAACCCCCGGACTCGCAAATGTTCGCGTGTCATCATTCCCCCGCGCGCGTGCCGCGTCCTCTCCCAGCGCTAAAACCGCGAAACTCGTGTTGTTCGGATCCTCGATTCAATCCGCCGCGTTTATACCGACACATCGACGCCACGAATTCACGGTATGTGACGATATAGCGATCCTGTCGTCGTCGTCGTTGTCGTCGTCGTCGTCGTCGTCGTCGTCGTCGTCATCTTGTCAGAACAGAGGATAAGCGCGCGCTGAGTATGTGTGTGTATGCGACGAAACGCGCCGGCGGAAAATATTATATGCAGATAAAATATTCATGGTTATCGGAACTCGCGATCGAGACCGGCTTTATTTTCCGCGATGAATAGAAATGCGGTGCCCGCCCTCGTCGCCGACCCGTGGGACACAAATTCTTCCTCCCGCTCTTGACGACGACAAAAAAGAGGCGCAGCCGTCGCCGGCTGTGTGTGCGTGTGCAAGAATAATTATCGGAATATTTATCGAGTTTTTTTTTTTTCGTAATTATGCCGGTGCTTTATTGGATGTCTTTATTTCGCTTGACGATAATTATCTTTAGCAAGCGAGAAAAGTATTCTTTTGTGTTTGTGTTTGTTTTTTTTTTGTTTTTATTTTGTTATGTGTAGCGATTCTGACGAGGACAGTGTAAGAAGTAGTTTCTGATTTTCATTTTCTGCGCTGAAACGCTAACGTTATTATATTCGGCACGAACGCTGGAAGCCGCACATTACCGAACTCTCAAACTAGTTGCACCTGTAAGTAGTCGTAACTGCTTATCCAGCGCGAAGAAACGCTATCTGATGATTATTATTTCTCAGCAAAGTTCAACGATCGTTCTCGAGCACAGCGAAGCTCTCTCGCAATCTCGCTCTTGTTTCCATTCTCGCTACGGTTACTGAACTTGTGAAACATGAGAATTTTTTACCACCACCATTACAACCACCTTCTCACATTTCCGTTTGCGTACAATGTTGTTGTATGTACGATTAAACAATCGTTGCAGCAGCAACAACAACGCATGCCATGTTATACATTATTGTTTGAAAAAGCATATTATTTTGTTAATTGTCTTTATAAATTATAATTATGATTAAGAAAAACAATTACGAAAAACACCAACACAACAACATTAAGAAAGACAATTATGAAAGATTATAATTTAAGAAAAAAGTCACCTTTTCTTAAAGGTCATTGACCTTATCGTTAAAGGTTATTGACCTTTTCGTTAAAGGTCACTGACCTTTTCGTTAAAGGTCATTGACCTTTTCGCTTAAATTATAATCTTTCATAATTGTCTTTTTTAATGTTGCCTTGTTGTTGTCTTTCGTAATTATCTTCCTTAATCATAATTGTCTTAACTTAAATTATAAATTACTTTCGCGCGCGAGCGCGCGTTATTATTTCTTTTTTGCGCAAAACGCATGCCTCCGCAGATGATTTGTGGAACTTAATAACGGCATGTCGGGTTTAATTGCCATTTTTGTGCGTGGCCGGACCCGTGGCCGAAATGACTGCCGAGATTTGATTAAATTCCTAATTTGCGTGGGTGAAATTAACTCGGTCACAGAAATATAAGTTTGCGGAATTAATTATCAAGGGCTCGAAACTCTCTTTTTTTCTCTTTCTTTCTGGTATCTGTTACTTTCTTTCTCTATCTCTCTCTCTCTCTCTCTCTCTCTCTCGTCCTCATCAGGAAAGTATTGAAATTTTCATTAGAGTACAACTTTTATAATTTTATGGCGAAATAATTCCATCCTTTTGAAATTAAATTAAGTGATGCCGCAAGTTAAAAGTACATCAAAATAAAAACGCGGTATGTAAAATTATAATAAGAGAAAGAGAGAAACAAAGAAGTGTAACGTACGTAATCTGTTATTAAATGTTTTCATTTTTCAAAAACTTTTGTAACAACAACAGGCGCGTGCGGTTTTAATTTGTAAAAAAACGGAAGTGTGTGACAAATTACTCTTTTAATAATTAATAAACACAAAAAACCGATATTTTCTCGATATATCGATTTAATGCCCAAATTTAATGAAACGGAGTACATAGGATTTTATGAAATATTTATAAAGCGCGCGCACATACATACACATGCCCATTGTATAATATTTATAAAAAGACGTAAAGAGATATATGTTTGAAAAAGTATCGGGCGTATAAAATCAAACGGGGTTTTCCTGGGGCGTCTCTGCTTTTATAATTGGTGGAAAATGAAATATGATTAAATTGCGCCTACGTTACGCGCCGAGTACTATGTAAGCCGGATGTGCTCGCAAAATAATTGGAAATATAATTGGACAAAAGATACCGTAGAGGAATAATAGCTGCAGCGACTCTCTCCGTGTGCAAATTTTCTCTTTTTCTACTTTTATAAATCAAGCTTCTCCTTCCTCTCTCCTCTGTCTTTCTCTTTCTCTCTCTCTCTCTCTCTTTCTCTTTCTCTCGTTATTCCAAATTCAAAAATATTCCGCGGATTAAAATTCAATCACCCGAATGTTCAT